GGCTCCTGCCCACCATCTGGTCTCAGGGCTGCTGGTCTCGGTGATTCATTCTCAGCCATCGAGGAACTAGTTCCTGCTGGTGACGTCATAGGCAGCCTCTCCCAGGGGGCACGTTCACAGCTTCTTGGTAAAGTCTGGAAATCTCACACTTTTCCCCAAGTAGCCTGGTTGCGGAGGAGGGGGATGAGCAGCCTAGACGTCAGGGCTCTGGGCTTGGTGGGCTGGGCGAAGCCTCTGATGCCTTCTCATCACTCGTCCTTGGGGTGCATGTAACACTGGCTGTCTATTGCATGATCTTTCGCCATAACTAGTGTTTTCAGTAACTTTAGTCTGCACCCCCTGCTGCCCCCCATTTCTGAGCTCAGTAGCACTCCAGGGTGGTGGTGGAGGTTTAGCTCGTGATGTCTCACCTCATCTTGTCCCGCTGGGAGACCAGGACCCTAGTGCCATGAGCAGGGCCCATGTCAAAGGGGCAAGTGGGGTGAGGCTGGACTCCCTGAACCCCTCAGGTGAGTCTCCCTCCTGGCCTCCCCCGCTCCCGCGCCTTTCCTTTCTCCTGCAGTCTGATGTGCCTGCTTCCTTCTCTCAGAGAATGCACTCCCCCTGGGGCAACCTCAGGCCCAGTCCCTCTCCAGGGCCTGCATGGGTTTCCGGCCAATGCTATTGCCTTCCTCTTCCCAAACTCTCACCCAGTTCCCCACCTCCCTGCCCACTGCAGAGGCCTGGCCATCTTTGGGGTGAAGGTTCCTTGCGGGGAAGGAAGGATGCACACAGTAGCCGTCACCTCTGTCCTTGCAGCACAGAGCAGCCTGCCTGGCACGCATGGATGCTCACCGAGGAGAGGCTGAGCCGAGCCCCTGCAGGGCCACCTCCCTATCTCGGTGTCGGGCTGGTTTTCCTTGGTGACCACAGGTGAGACGGTTTGCAAAGTCTCTGTAGTGCAGCAAGGGGGCTGGAGAGGCGTGGATCTTCCCGGGTGACAGCAGCGGGACCCCGGGGCTGCTCAGAGGAAGAAGGAACCTGCCCTCACCCGGCACGAGGATGACCGGGGAAGGGCTGGGGGTGGTGCAGTGCATGAAGCGTGTGCAGAGATGTTCCCCGGCTGTTGCTCATTTGCCAGGAAGGGATGAAGAGGAAATGGGCTCAGCTGCAGCTGGCGGGCAGCGAGGGGCGGCGGTGGGGGTGGGGTGTCCTGTGTTAACAGCGTGGGAGGGGCTGCTGCTCCAGGGACAGATGCTGGGAGGGGCTCTTCGGATACCTAATGGTGTGGGCTGGTTGACCGCAGAGCTCACAGGGGGAGCCCATGCCTGATCTCCCAGTACGAGGAGGTCAAAGACGCCCCCTTCATGCCTCCCCATGTGCCTTGCCACCAGACACATGCTAAGGGGGTGTTGAGGGCAGGATGTGCTAGTCTGGGCAGAGTATTGGCCGAGCCCCTCTGGGGTCATTGAGGGCCTGTGTGTGTCACTGCAGCAGCCACAAGGCTGGATGATGGGAGAAGACACAGCTGTTTGGGATGCTAAGGGCTGACCCTGGGCCTACGGGGACCTGGCCTTTCCTTCTCTAATCGTGCTGACCAAGGTGTGTCCAGCCCGTTCACCCACATGGAGCTGAACCTCCGTGTTACACGGATCCTCCTCTCAGCAGCCCCCTGAGCTAACTGCAAACACGAACACGAAGGTATAAAAGCAATCCAGCGGAAGAAGCGCTGTCTTTCCAACCAGTGGCGCTTGGAGCAATTGGGAAATGAACTGGGACCCATCCTCACAGCTTATACAAAATGCAGCTCAGAATGGGGTACTGACATGTAAGACATAAAACCATGCCACTCTTAGAAAAAACAGAGGAGAAGAATCTTTGGGAGCTAAGACTAGGTGAAGAGTTTTTAGATTTGGCATCAGAAAGCATGATCCATTAAAAAAAAGATAAGCTGGACCTGATCAAGATTAAACACTTCTGCTCTGTGCAAGCCCCTGTGCTGATGAAAAGAGACAACCACAGAGAGGGAGACACACCTGCGAAGGTCCGACCTGACAAAGGACCAGGGGATCGGAGTGAGCACATGACACCACGCCCGGTTGTGTCACAAGCGGAGTCAACTCCAGGGCTTCAGAAAGGGGGTGGGCGCTGTGCGCCCCCGGCCGGAGTTCGGAGCAGGGTCGGTGCTCTGACGAGTGGTGTTCAGTGACGCTCCAGGCCGGCGTGTTTGGCGGGGTTTCTGGAAGCAGCAGCGGCGGCAGAGGACGGATGGAGACGGTGGGCGTGGCCTGGTGGATCAGCTGGGAACACGTGCGTCCCTGCTCCCCGGCGAGGTTTCAGCGCGGCCGTGCCAGGCAGGAAACACTCGGGTTTCCTGAAATAGCTTTCTAAAATTGTTGACAAAGTGCTGATCGAAAGGCCCCTCACATGGCTGTTGAGAAGCCGGGGTGAGACGTCCAGGTTTCCGCGGAGGCCGCCCGCCCACACGGTCTGAACCTGGATCGCGCGACTCGGGGCCTGCCGGTGCCTCAGCGGGGATCTGGCCCGGGCTGGGGGTGGGGATGGGGGGGCGGATGGAACCCACGTGCAAAGTCTCTCCTGGGGGCGAGGGAAGCCGAGGGAGGGGGCGCAGGAAGGCGGAGACACGGAGGCCTTGAGGGGCGCGGCCCAGGCTGGTCAAAGCCTCCACCCCGCCCTGCTCTCCGCCCAGAAGCCCAGAGCTCGGGGGTCTCAGCCTGTCACGGGGAGGGAGACGACGAGGAGCACTTGGATAAATACAACTTCCTACTCAAGAATGCCCCTCAGACATGCCGTGTTACTCCTTTTTTTCCTTTTAAGTACAAAATAGGTCTCCCACCGTGGTGTTCTGAAGGGAGGTTTTGTCTTCCTTCTTTTCTGGGTGATCTTTTTCCAGCCTGGTAAACGTCTGCTCAGATTACAGAAAAGGACTCAAGAGAGTGGAAACTTCCAGACTTGGAGGGGGGGCCCGACTGCCTCTTCTTCCTCCTGCCCCATCTGGGCCCCGGGCCGGCCCAGTCCCTGTCCATGTCCAGGCCAGGGCCTGGGTGGGCCCCAGGAATGCTGCTGCACACCCCACCTCGGTCTGAGCCACAACTCGCTGTGCGGCCCTTAGGCTTACAATGGGGTGTAATCAATATAACCCCACGTCTGGGTCTCCACTTGTAAATCTAATATCGTGGGGAAACCAGGTGTCGCTGACAATCTGGGCCCTGAGCACTGTGCACCTGCCCCCACACACCATTTTCAGAAGCAGCGCCTCCCAAGGCCCAAAATAAAATACTGTAATGAAATGGTCTCCTGTCCACACCCTGTCTTGGGAGGGTGGTGAGGGTCCTGAGTCCCTTGTCCAGCCCCTCCTTGAGGAGGGGGACGCCAGAA